GGTTCAGGAAGCCATGACTGATGTCTAGCTTTATGACGTTGGTATTGTGAGGTTAAAATAAATGGAAAATTCTACTTGGAAAATTATAATTACTTCAGCAATTACTTTTTGGTAATTTTATTTGGATTATTAAGAAACCGTGACAATGTGGTGCTTTTTGGAGGACAATCAAACTTAAGCATCATAAAAATGTGGAACAGAAGCTTGAAGCTTTGAGAGAACCAGAGATTTACAGTGTTGGACTTCGTCAAACTGTGATTAACCAATAGAGCCATGATCGTAATGCTTAATATCATTAGTTTTTGAGTTTTCAATGAACTAAAGCGAGTGTAATACGAATTTAAATTCGAAAATTTGGCTGATTCATTATTGAAAATTTTCTTTTTTAGGTTTAGTATAATAGAAGTAAAAAAACTAACTAAAACGGCCAAGTTTTACCAAAACATAGTTAAATCTTTCTTTCTTTTGTTTTTTTTTGTCTCAGGAAGCAAAAAGTACAAAAATAAATCTACAATCATGATTCGTTTATAAAAAAGTTAAATAGAAAATGGTAACACAGTCCTATAAATTGGGAAGGCATTCACTACTCACTAATCGCTTTACTTTCTAACACGTTTAAAGTAAACAAGACAAAGAATCACAAAGCACCGTTATCTTACAATGATAGCTCCATAAAATTCTTCATTTATAAAAAATTCTTTTTTTTTTGTTAAACATTTTTTTTTTAAAATTCTTATAAATATTAGAGCGATACTTTTAAATTTAAGGGAAATTAACCCTAAATTTAAAGCCATATCTAGAGCAAAGAAAAAAAAACAAGAGAAGAAATATAAGAATACGAAAGAAGTGATAAAAAAGAAAGACCAGAAGATGAAGAAATTAAAGAATAATACGAAGATAAAGACAAAATAAATACTAAATATAATAAGAAGGAAAAATAGTGAGACAAAATAAAGATGATCTAGAAAAAAGAACAAAAAGAGTAAAAGAATTAAAAACCGAGATAGAAGAACTATCATATAAAGACGATGAAAATTTGGAAGAAGAATAAAATTATGGGGCAATTACAAAAATGTCATTTTTTGTGTGTATATTTGTAAAAATGTCATTTAGAGATATTTATTTACCAAAATGCCACTAATTATAGATTTATAAAGCCTATATTTTAAAATTCTAAACCCTAAANAATGTTTTGACACCTAAAACCCCCTAAACACTCAAAACTAAACCCTAATAGAATATAATTAATCCAAACATAAAAAATATAAAGAAAAAATAATTTTGAAAAAATGGCATTTTTGTAAACTAGCATTTGAAAAGTGGCATTTTTTGAAATTTCTCTAAAATTATAGAGTAGACAAAGACCGACAAGAAGCAATTCGAGTAAATGAAGACGGTGAATAAGAAAAGAAAAACAAAGGAAATAATAAATGAGATATTACAAAAATGCCACTTTTTGTGTACACATTTGCAAAAATACCACTAATTAAGATTTTTTAGAGCTTAAATCTTAAAATTCTAAACCCTAAAAAATCTTTTGACCCTTAAAACCCCTTAAACCCTCAAAACTAAACCCTAATACAACATTGTTAACCCAAACATAAATGATATATTGAATAAATAATTTTTAAAAAGTGACATTTTTGCAAATATTATAAAAATGAAGCATTTTTGTAAATTGGCACTTGAAAAGTGGCATTTTTTGAAATTTCTCATAATAAATCGTAATTTTTAAGATAACACTCAAAATATTAAAAATAGTAATCCACATATAGTAAAACAAACAATAATGTATATTTTTATAATTAATAAATTCTATTAAATAATAATATTACCTTATATTCATAAAATTTTTGGAAAATACTCAGTCCTATGCTAGATGTTGTTAATCATCTAGTATATAAGCTATATAAATTAGTATTCAGATTTAGTGATTTGATTAATATTTGGAAAATACTCAGTCCTAGGCTAGA